CTCCCACGTTCGCCCATTATTAATTTGAAACTCATATACTAAGAATTCCCTCCAGCCTTAATGATAACTGCCACGTGTTCCTTCCAGCACGATCTTGGTCAAAGGTTTCTCCAACACTTAGCATTTTCTAGAAATTTTGTCAACCTTTCTTCGACTCAGACTTCCTCACAGCTGTGTCGAACCCTTCTTATGAAGTTTAAAATAACATTCTGACTTGAGATAATTTTGAATTGGCTGGCGTAAAAAATGAGAGCTAACAATATGGCAAGAGTACGATAGTATTAATAATTGTACCATGGAATGCACTAAAGATGTTGAAAAATTCAATAAGATGATTAATTCTCAACGAGTTTATGTTTTTTTGGCTGGTTTGGATTCACATTTGGATGGAGTTCGTGGTCATTTTCTGGCTACCACTCCGCTTCCTAATGTTCAATCAGTTTATGCAATTGCATGTGCAGAGGCAAATTGCCAAGAAGTTATGCTAAATGGTGAGTCTTCGAATGGGTCCGCCTTGGCTGTCAAGAAGTATCCGAAGAAAGAAGTCTGCAAGTGTAATCACTATAATGGAGATAATCATGTCATGGAGACATGTTTTAAACTCCATGGCTACCCGGAGTGGCATCCAAAGGGAAAAACTACTTCGAATAATAAGACAGAAAATAATAAGGCTCATCTTTCTACTGTTGTCAGTTTTGTAACCAAGTCAGGTATGTCTAACTTTGCTCATAATCCTTCTTCTATTATTAGAAATAGCGATTGGATAATCGATACAGATGCTACTGATCATATGACTTATGATCAATATATGTTTACTAATTTCTCTCCTAATTGTCATAAAACTATTATTATTACTGCCAATGGAGTAAAATCTCCCATTGAAGGTGTTGGTACAATGACCCTATCACCCTCCCTATCAATATCTAATGTCTTATTTTTTTCCTACCTTGAATTGCAATCTTATCTCTGTCAGTAAATTAACAAAATCACATTCATGTGTCGCTGTGTTTTATCCAACCCACTGTATTTTTCAGGATATACATACCAAGGAGAAGATTGGCAGTGGTAGATATAGTGAAGGGTTGTATTATCTTGAGAAAGTTTTACAAATCCATAAAGGAGCATTACTTCATATTACAAGTGATCACATACAAGAAAAAAAAATTATTTGGCTATGGCATAGACGATTAGGGCATCCCGCTTTTAGTTATCTAAAAAAATTATTTCCATTGTTATTTCATAAATGCAATATTTCAGATTTTCTTTGTGAAACTTGTGTAATGCCAAAAAGTCATCGTTCCTTTTTCATGAAATTGACTATAGTTTTCATGAGGCCACCAACACATCTAGTACCGAATCCACTATTGTCCAATATAATCTCCCACCTCATTCTAACCGTGGTCAACCTCCCATTAGATATGAACCAAACCTTCAATGTAAAGTTAAATATCCCATTACTAATTATGTGTCATCTCACAAGTTATCTAAGTCATATGCATCATTTGTATCTCAATTATCCTCAATTTCTATTCCTAGTAATGTGCAGGAAGCTTTAGCATATCCTAGATGGACTGAAGCAATGGTTGTGGAGATGGCAGCTTTAGAAAAAAACAACACTTGGGATCTTGTGACGTTACCAAAAGAGAAGAAGATTGTGGGGTGTAAATGGGTTTATACAATTAAACACAAAGATGATGGAACTATTGAAAGGTATAAAGCACGACTAGTGGCTAAAGGTTACGTTCAATCTTACGGCGTAGACTATCAAGAGACATTTGCGTCGGTAGCCAAACTCAACACTGTGAGAATACTTTTGTCACTGGCAGCAAACTAAGATTATCCTTTTCTACAATTTGATGTGAAAATGATTTCCTACATGGAGAAATTTCAGAAGAAATTTATATGGATTTACCATTAGGTATGATAGATTCAAATGAGATGAAGGTTTTCAAGTTAAGGAAGGCTCTATATGGATTAAAACAACCCCTAAGAACATGGTTTGGTAGGTTTACTAAGTCTATGAAGGCTTTTGGCTATAAAGCAAGTAACTCTGACCACACCTTATTTTTGAAGAAAGTAAAAGTTAAAATTACAGCTTTGATTATTTATGTAGATGATATGATTGTTACAGGGAATGACCAAGATGAGATGTCTAGTTTGCAAAAATACCTCGCTTCTGAATTTGAGATGAAACAACTTGGAAACCTCAAATATTTCTTGGGTATTGAAGTAGCTAGATCTAAACATGGTATTTTTCAATTTCAAAGAAAGTATACTCTTGATTTACTATCTGAAACTAAACTGCTTGGGTGTAAACCTGCTGATACCCCAATTGAACAAAACAATATGCTATTTCAATGTCAAAATTCATCCAGTATAGACAAAGGGAAATACCAGAGGTTGATTGGCAAACTAATTTACTTATCTCATACACGGCCAAATATTACATATATAGTAATTGTCGTTAGTCAATTTATGCATGACCACGAAAACTCATATGGATGCTGTTGAAAGGATCCTGAGATATTTGAAGTCCATTCCTGGAAAAAGAATTTTATTCTCAAATCATGGAAACTTGAAGGTAGAATGCTATACCGATGCTGATTGGGCAGGTTCAAGAAATGATAGAAGGTCTACCTCTGGCTACTTTATATTTGTATGAGGGAATCTTGTAACTTGGAGGAGTAAAAAAAACAATCGGTAGTAGCAAGGTCTAGTGCTGAAGCTGAGTTTAGAGGTATGGCACTAGGAGTTTGTGAACTTTTATGGATACAAAATGTTCTATCAGATTTGGGTTTTGAACCAAGGGAGACTATGAATTTGTATTGTGACAATACATCAACAATTAAAATTGCTCACAATCCTGTGTAGCATGATAGAACGAAGCATGTAGAAATTGATAGACATTTTATCAAAGAGAAACTTGAAGCTGGAATAATTTATTTTCCTTTTGTAAGATCTGAATTGCAGTTAGCAAATGTTCTCACTAAAGGAATGGCAAGTAAGGTGTTTAATGAGTCTTTAGTCAAGTTAGGAATGTGTGATATCCATGTACCAACTTGAGTGGGGGTGTTAAGATAAGTCAAAGATATTATTAGCTATATTAAGTAGGAAAATATTTTGTGCTGTAAATAATTTATTTGTACAACTATATGATTATTGTGTGCAGTTGTCATTCCCTTAATAAAAGAGGAATTATAGGGACTATTTTGTGTATATATTGTACAATGATCAATGAATAATATATCAGAATTATTACTTTGAAAACTTCTATAGTTTCATGATGTTTGAACTTTCTTATTTTTTCATCTTGTAGGTATGGATGCTTATTGCAGTGAAAAAGACGAAGATAAATTTAGCCTGTCAAACTTGTATCAAAGGTCTAGGATGAAATCGATTCAAAATATACACAAGTTTGCTGGTCTAAATTTATCTTCATCCTTCTTTCATTGTTGATACGCCATTATGGGACTTGACATGTATGGTATGTTTCTGAAACATTTTATGCCTTGATATGTTTGTTGTATCGTGTTTGTTGGTTATTGTTTGTCGTTGATGAAAGTTTTTTATGAATGATGTTGTCAATGTCTGTTTAAAGTATGAGTTTATTATACATTATGTGTTTTGAGTGTTTTTCAATCCCTTACTGAATATATAACTTTCCCAACTGTATTAGGAAATTGTGATATGATAGATAAAATTGTATTAGAAAATAAGTACACGTTCAATTCTTGAAAAACATTCTTTACTTTAACTGCATGTTGTTCTTTGACCGTTAGAACTTGGTTTAGTGATTGTAGATCTTCAACCACCTCTCTTTCCACCTCTAATTTTGTTTGCAAGGTAAATAATATTTTGCAAAAGGAATTAGAGTTGAAGGCAGGGTTGTTGAAGAACTAAGATCATTAAACCAAGTTCTTACTATCAAAGAACAAAATACGGATAAGGAGTTGAAGAACCCTTGTCAAGCATTGAACGCGTACTTATTCTTCTAATATAACTTAATTTGTCATATTATAATGTTCTAGTGCAGATTGGAAGGTTATATGTTTAGTGAGCATTGGCGAAATAAGCATTCCACGTAATTTATAATAAACTCAAGGCTATATACAACAACGATTGTCTAGAACATCCATTGTTAAATATGTTTCATTTTAATATACCACAACGGTTGTTTAAAGTAACTATTATGGTAGGTAGCGCGCTACATGCATACAATCACGGTCGCATGTCCGTGGTTGAAATTATCATACATACAATCACACCTTACATCACAACAGTTGGACCTGCGTGATGGTTTCCCTTTTTCAACCGTTGTGATATGGGTTTTCCGTAGTAGTATTCATACTCGCTTGTAATCTGAACCCGTCCCAAATTTGACGGGAAAAACCCGTTTCGACTGGGTTTTGGTTTTACCCGAACATAAAATATAGGGACGGATCAGGTAATCGGAACATTAATATCCACCCCCGAACCCGCCTTATTTGTTTTATTATGTATTTTATTATTTTAGTTTTGATAGTTTAGTGTATTAAATATGTGCTTAATGTTTTGATATTTCGATTTGCATTTATTATTTAAAATATTTGAAATGTATGTATGTATAAATTTTTTTGATATTTTTTATTTTATTATTTATAATTTAATTTAATTTTAGAAAAATAAATATTTTTATTAAAATAAATAATTTTAATAAATAGATTGTAAATCCAAATTTAATCCAAATCTATTTGACACGTGTTTGGATTTAATTTGGATTTGGAAAAATAAAAATAGTCCATTTTCTCTACTCCAATCCATTCCAAATTCCTGCCTTATATTTTTCTAAAAATCATACACTTGAAACGATTAAGTCCCCAACATCAACAATCATTCAATGTAATGAAAACATAACAACCAGTTCATAGTCTCATGCATTCCAAGATACAAAGTTAAATTAATCAAGTTTTCGCAATTGATACATTGACAAATAAATATAAAACGATCTCAGCATCATACAACTAAAAAAATCTTTCATAAGCTTCTGAACCTTCCATGAATGAAATCATCTCTGGTTCCAAACGAAGCATTCGAATACTTCTTATCATTTTAAGTTCCGTTATGCGTTCAACTGTTGCGTCGTAACTTTCTTTATTCATGTAATTCGTTATGCTTTTATAATATTGAAGCTGAAGTTGTGCAAGTTGCTCTAATTTCATAATTTGCTTGTCTAGATCACTAACATCAACATGATTTAGCTTTTGCAGTACATCCTTTGCAATTTCCTCAACAAGTTCAGATTCTGTTCTGTTCGTAGAAACATTCACAAGAGATGCATGATGAAAAAATCTCTAGATCTATATATAGCACTCATATATCAAATTCTCAAAAACCAAAAACTAAAAAAAGAAAAATTATAAAGTTGTTGATTTATAAGTATGTAACTGTCAGAAAATTGAACTCTAGACCAACAGTTAAGGTAAAAAAAAAAAAAAAAATACCTGTTGATGTTGGACAAGGAATCCCATCCAGAAGTATTGGCTGTTTCACCCAAAGCATCTCTCCATTTTTGCACCATGTTCATTTTATTCGAGTAACGTTCTTCATGTTTCGCAAACGCCTCAGCATAACTTCCCCTTTGATGTCGAACATGGAAAGGATCAACTTCATAGAAAACAGGCAAAATAACTTGCCTATTATTTTTCCTACACTCGAGTATCTTCACAACTTCATCCAAACACCATTTTGAGTTCGCGTAGTTTTTCGAAAAAACAATTACAGATAGTTTTGCTTCCTCGATCGCTTTGAGAAGCGCTTGTGATATTTCGTCTCCTCTTTCTAGATTGTCGTCAATATAGGTCTTTATGTCTAACCTTCTTAATGCGCTATTGAGATGGCTTGTGAATTTCTTGCGAGTGTCGTCGCCCCTGAAACTGAGGAACACTTCATGTGTTTCTTTTTGGTGTGGTAGAGGAAGAGAAGAGGATGATTTTGACATAATGTTTATGAAGATTGTGAGACTGGTTGGATTTGTTGAAAATTGAAATTCTTCCTCTCTAGTTATTCTATAAATACTATACTTTCCTTAATTTAATTGATCGAAGCAGCTTCGTCGAAGCTATTGAAATTAAAGAAAATAGAAGGTTGAAAATCTAATATATATATATATATATATATATATATATATATATATATATATATATATATATATATATATATATATATATATATATATATATATATATATATATATATATATATATATATATATATATATATATATATATATATATATATATATATATATATATATATATATATATATATATATATATATATATATTTTGTAAGCCTAGAAACTAATCCAAACTAAAAAAGTTTAAAATAATTAAAATTAAATTTTATCAATATAATCAAATATTTGTCTAGAGTTTGAGTTTGAGTTTTTTTTTGTTTGACAAAAGTGGATTACAGATGGATCATAAAAAGTCTACTCATATAACTAGCTAGTGGTTGTTGAAAATATGTACACAAAACAATGTGTACAAAACATAATCAATTCTTGGGTCGCCATTTGAAATGGCGAATGTGTTGAATTGGATTTTGCTGAATACCAATTCGCCATACCATCTGGCGAATGTGTTGAAAGTGAGTTTCTTAAAAAATCAATTCGCCATATCATCTGGCGAATGAGTACAAGGTTAGGGTTCCAAAAATCCATTATTGCTTCGTTTATATTTTTATTAATTTTTAATAAATTTTAATAATTAATTAATAATGTTTTATTCTATCTTTTAAATACTTTATTTTAAATACCTTATTTTTAATTGAAATTTAAATAAATTTTAATAATTGATTAATAATGTTTTATTGTATTTTTTAAATACTTTATTTTAAATACCTTATTTTTAATTGAAATTTAAATAAGTTAAGAAAAAATTAGGGTATAGAATGTTAAAATAAAATATAGAAATAACAAATTATATTAATTTAGAATCTAATGAAAAGTACAATTACAATTTAACAAAAGAAAAAAACTAATGATCGGCTCTATCCAAGTGACCACCGGTGCCACATTGTGGGGGACGTGCATTGCGACGAGGTCTACGACGAGGTTGTTGTGGTGTGTCCGGTCTCTGTGTGTTGAGTTGTGGAGGAGGGTATGGTTGGGACGGTCCCGACGTATCAGATAGAGTTTGCATCATTTGACCCCAATAGCCGGGAGGTCCACTGTCAACGGCGCTTCCGTAGTCAACCCCGATGCCCATGTTTTCGAAGGATTGTCGGGGAGGTTGGGTGGAGTATGGACGGTATGGTTGTCCGAATGTATACATGGAGTTGGGTTGGTCTATGTGTGTTGGTTGTAGTGGGGTGTGGTAGTCGAATAATGGATAATTTGGGGGGTCATTGGAGGGGTAGTTGGAGGTGTAGTTGTATTGGGGAGGGTCAAATGAGTTGTCTGAGCTATAGGTGGAGGGGGTAGACTCAAAAGAGGTAGCAGGGATGTAATGGTAAGGTGGTTGAGGCTGGGATTGGGTGGGTGGTGGCATGTAAGGTTGTCGTTGTTGATAGGGGGTATTTGTTGGCATGTATGGGTTTTCGTCAGGCTGGGTTTGGGCACTGAACTGTTGCTGTGGGTTTGACGAAGAACCGCGTTCCCTTGGGTTGGCCAAATAGGTTGGCTGGGACAGGAAAGCGTGAGATGTCGTGACAGACCTAAACCAAGTCATATATTGAAGACTTGGCCTAGCCCCGTGCACAATACGGTCGGTTAAGACGTATTTCCTTCTTCTTTTCCAGTGTATACACAACTCCTTCGCAAACTCCTTCCAGTCACTGACACTCCACTGTGCGTCAGCCCGCTTTTGATGCCACTGCCCCAAGTCTACTGGAGCATCTGGAATATCCTGATGCATCCTAAATTGTAGTTTCACCCGGTCACTCTAGTGCATCTCCACCGTAGTGAACCTAATTATGGGTGTCTTTGAGGTCCACAAAACGGCATTGTCGGTGTTGGGCTCGTGGTCGAGACCCTCGTACGGCATTCAGACAAACTACAATAAAGTTGGACAGTTAAGTTAGACAGAGTTTTAGAGGTTTATGCATATACATTAAAAAAAATTAATGGTAAATAACTTACATCATCTGGCCCAAGGTGGTCGATTAGGTTGTGGTATTGAATTATAGAGTGCCTTGGACATATCTGATAATTCATCCCTGGAACAGACCACCTAAAAAAATAAACACATCTAAAAAATTATTAACTGAAAAAGAATATGTAGTTGCTAAATTATCTTGAAAAGATACTTACTTGTTGGCGTACGGGAACGTAAACGAATTCCTGTTTATTGGAGCAAGCATTGACATCCTAGACCAACCCCACGCTTGCAGAAGATACGCACAACCATAAAAAGTGCAGGAATTTTTTTTGAAGTTTTACAAAGTGCGCTATATAGATGGGTGAGGACAGCTGATCCCCAGCTATATTCGCACACTTTGTTAATATTCCGCAATAATGGTAAATACATAGTATGGACGGTATTTACAGTGCCATCTGGAAATAAAAAATGCCCGAATAAAACCATAATATAGCACCAAGTTTTTTGTATTTTCTCAAACTTGGTGCTATCATCAGTTAAGACAATACGGTTGTATTGTTCTCTAAGGTATTTTAAATTTATTCCCTGACCCCTCGGGCGGCCATCGCTTTCCGCCTGAGGTCCGTCCGTACAAAGAGGGGCGCCTAATAAATCTGCGCAAAGTTGGTCAGGGACACCAACTTTGCCGTTGACGGCCTTACCATCGATGTGTAGGCCGAGCAACATGTAAACGTCCTGAAGAGTCACAGTACACTCACCAAAAGGTAGGTGAAATGTATGTGTCTCCGGTCTCCAGCGTTCTAACAACGCTAGAATACATTTCATGTTGAGGGAATAAGATTTGATTTTGATCAAATCACCAAACCCACAATGAGTAAGGTAGTCCGAAATGAGCGGGTCGTATGGTATGTAATCATGCACACGACATCGAAACCTTGATACATCCTGTAGAATAATAAATGTTACGTTAGAGAAGAAGTAAAATTACTAACGTTTTTTTAGACAAAATTGTAAACATAGACAACAACAAAAGACTTACAAACTCAGCGATGTTTTCAGTCGTCCCTCTGTGCGAGTCACCCATGGTCAGTAGAGACATTGTCGTTTGGGATGTTGAGATTTAGAGATGGAGAGTTGAGAGTTTGAGAGTTGAGATGTTAAGAGTTAAGAGGTTGAGAGTTGAGAGTACGAGAGTGGAGATGTTGAGAGTTAAGAGGTTGAGAGTTGAGAGTTTGAGAGTTTAAGTGTGACTAGAATTTGATGGGTAAAGACCCTATATTTATATTGAACGAGTGGATATGTTGTAAATGCATGTCATACAAATGGCTTGAAGAATGTGTTGTGTAAGATCTTGTTGGACGTGTGTCGTCATGCATGTGTTGTGTAACTGCATGTTCGACTAATGTCATGATGCATGTGATGTAAATGCATGTTGGACTAATGTCATGATGCAGTGTCTCTTCTAATCAAGCATGGTGGATGCAGGATCACGTGTGAAAAGGAGATTCCTTCATTGTCTCGTCTAATCAAACAGACTTTGCATTGTCACGTCATATTATGGGTCATATTTTGTTTTTCTGCATATTATGTTTTTTTTCTTAACTAAAGAGTTATTGTTTTTTTATGTATGATAGGTTCTGATGGTCAGTGTCCTGATGCATGTCATTGATTCCTGATGCGTGTCATTGATTGTGAAGCATGTGTGACAAGTGAAAGGCAGAGATTCCTGATGCGGTATCACATGTGAAAAGCAACACTTTGCATTGTCACGTCATATTATGGGTCATATTATGTTTTTTCTTAATTAAAGAGTTATTGTTTTTTTTTTATGTATGATAGGTTCTGATGGTCAATGTCCTGATGCATGTCATTGATTCCTGATGCATGTCATTGATTGTGAAGCATGCATGACAAGTGAAAGGCAGAGATTCCTGATGCGGTATCACATGTGAAAAGCAGCACTTTGCATTGTCACGTCATATTATGGGTCATATTATGTTTTTTTCTTAATTAAAGAGTTATTGTTTTTTTTATGTATGATAGGTTCTGATTGTCAGTGTCCTGATGCATGTCATTGATTGTGAAGCATGTGTGACAAGTGAAATGCAGATATTCCTGATGCGGTATCACATGTGAAAAGCAACACTTTGCATTTTCACGTCATATCAAGTGTTTTGTTCATTGTCATGAGATTGATTGTGGAGCATGTGAAAATTACAAAGTTCATTGTTGTTACATGTAAAAAAATCTTTAAACTCTTTATCAAACACTCAGCCCATTTTATAAAGCCTTTAAAGTCTTTAAATAATCGAACACTCAGACGCTTAAACACTCATTAACTCAAACACTCAAACACTCAAACATTCAAACATTCTAACGCTCAAACAGTCAAACACTCAAACACCACAATTTTCACTATGTCTCAAACACCACAATATGTGATTTCCGCTCATCTGAATGGTGAAGTTTTCGAATGTGAAATGTCGGGATACAATTTCAGAAACACGGATGTTACAAAATTTTTAATTGACAGAAGGTCTAATTTTTTACACCTGAAGTCAAGAATCGAAAAAAAACTGCAATGTGGTCCAGTTGGGCAAATAATATACAAAAACCCAGTATTTTTTGGCGGACCTGATTCATGCAAATTTTTCCCTTTAAAGGTGTGAGACGATGAAGACGTACGTAACATGTTCCACAGTCACGAGTATTCTGGGTTCTTAGATATCGTGTTATATGTTACGTTACAACAATAACAACTGTCTCAGCAACTTGATTTGTCTCAAGTTTTTTGCGATGAGGAAGATGAACACCCTGAAGTCGATGTCCTTGACGAAGAAGAAGAAGCAAATGAAGTCATTGTTGACGAGATGGTGAACAATCTAGAGGATGAAGTTCA